ATAAAAACCTGCTTTCTCTTGAAGTGAAATGTTAATGGGTTGCCACAGATGAAGAGATACCATTTCCTACCCTTGAATCCCAAATCACTATTGAGAGAACTTGTATCAAAAGAAATGTATGCAAGGATTCCTAGGGTAGAAACTTTAAATGTAAGCTATTTAAAAAAAAAAAAAAAGTGATACAAATATTTCATAACCTAAAAAGAAACAATACAAATAAAATGAAAGCAATTAAATATAATTAATGTTTTAATGTCAAAAGATATGCCCAAAAAGCATGTCCTAAAAGACTGCAAACTTCAAAAGTAATATTTTGTTAATCAAATACAAAGAGATACAAAACTAATAATATTAGCTTTGTAAAGCCTAAGTGAAAAACATAGAGACAATATAAACATATCCCAAACCCAAACCAAACTAAACCAAACCTATTGCCATCGAGTCAGTTCCAGGTACAACAGTGACTAGCTGGGCGACTCTTCTTGCCTACCTAACCAAAAGGGTAGTGGTTTGAATCTACCAGCTTACTCTATGGGAGACAGATGTGGCAGACTGTTTCCTTGGAAACCCTATGGGAGCAGTTCTACTCTGACCTATGTGTATGAACACATATCCAAAAAGAACGCTAATTAACTTCTTTTTATGTATGCCTTATTAAAGCATAATAAGTATCATCTTGTTGTTGTTGTTAAGTGCCATCGAGTCGGTTCCGACCCATAGTGACCCTGTACAGGGTTTCCGAGGGTGTAAATCTTTACGGGAGTAGAAAGCCTCATCTTTCTCCCGCGGAGCGGCTGGTAGTTTCGAACCGCTGACCTTAAGGTTCGCAGCCCGATTCGTAACCACTACGCTACTAGAGCTCCGTAAGTATCATCTTAATAAGAAATTATTTGATATTTTAGAATTATTTACAAATAACTTTTGAAGATAACTTTTTAGCTACACTGTAACAGAAAACAATGTATTAGTGTAATTTATTCTTTGTTGTTAAATTACGTTGACTTCCAACTCATAGCAACCCTGTATAGAGTTTCCAAGGAGTGGATGGTGAGCTTGAACTGCTGACCTTCCGGTTCAAACCAATCTTGCAATCCAGTGCATTAACTCACAGAGCCATAACAGGACTACATTGTATCTTTAGTACTACATTATATTTAAAAGAAATTTCTACCTTCCAAGTTGATTTTGCTCTGATGAGAGATACAGTTGCTTGAATTAATCTGATCACTAGAAAATAAAGCAAAACATACATTAAACACATCAACTATCATGGATTATTATCTGAGTTTCATTGTAAGAAAAAAATTAATATTTGTTAAACAATTATTATACGCCTTGTGCTGTTCTAGGGGCTTAATGTTCTTCATTTAATTTGTACCACACAGCAACACTTAAAAGCAGGCATTATCCTCATTTTACAATAGGAGATTAAGGTTGTGACAAATGAATTAATTGATTCAATATTTAAAATCCAAATCTATCTAGTTAACAAACAAAGCCCTACTATGAAGTATTATGATGTTACCCAGACACACACACACACACACACACACACACATTTCTCCAGAGCTTTATTGCAATGATCAATTTTAAAAACCACTAACAGCTTTTAAATAACAAATATGATCAAACATCAACTAATATTAAGATGTTTTGGAAAAATTAGAAGTAGTGGCTAGACTGGTCTATGAAATCAGCCACTTAAACTGTGGGCATAATTTAGAGGTTACAGAAAGAAGTGCAAATGTACTGCCAACAGCAATATAATAAATGTGCTAGGAATTAATTAAGAATTAAACACAAATTTAGTTAAAGGGTGAGTATACATCAAAGGTTGACTGTAATGCTAACAATGGTAATTTATTCTTATACTTAGCAATTTCCTAAAAATAAATATTTCTTTTTGGAAACATGAAATAATTAGTATAAATAGAAACTTCATGTTATCAAATGACCTGTAACATCTCAGGTTTCTTTACTCTGAGTTCATGTTCTGTCCTTTACACTTAATTGTCCTCAAATTGAGAATTTCTTGGAATAATGAACAAGGTGTTCATATATATATACACAGACTGAAGAGAAAATGATGAGGGAAAAAATCATTCACATAATTTGTACATTACCTGAAGGATAATGCTTCTTTAACACCATTCATATCCATTACTGTACCATTTCCATCAATAACAGGGGAATCCAAGTTAGCTGATCCATTACTGAGATGATCACTGCTTTCATATCCAGATTCAGTCCTTTGCATCTGCCAACTGTCACCATGAACTTTAGTCTCTCTGAGGCCCTTATTTTTCTCTGTTCCTTTTTCATTAGATTCAAGGGAACTCCTGCTTCCTATTTCTTGTTTTACTTCATCTTCATATATGGTCATTAAACCTTTTTGCTTTGGATTCTCTTTTGGCCAATTGTGAAAATTCTGGTCTTTGCTACATTTAGGTTTGTTGTTGATACTTGATTTATGTCTTGGACTATGCTGCCTTTTTTCACTTTCACTGAAAATGCTATCAACATTTAATGTTTCTCTCATAGGTTTCCAACTTCGGTTCCGGCTTTTACTGTTGCTATTACAGCTGTTTCCTTTAGCTCTAGAATCTTGGCTGCTGTCTGTATCATATCCAGTACCACTGTCGCTCTTAACTTTGCCAGTTATTTTTTCTCCTGGACGGAGAATCTGAGATTTACTTGAATTTAGCATTTGTGCAGACGTTCGACTCTGATGGGTTATCTGGTCATGTTTACGTGGTCCTTTCCCTTGACTATGATAGAGATGTGCATTCCCATATTGTCTAAAACCATTTGGAGCAGGAGGTGATCCAGACTTGAAATAAGAAAGGTCCTCATCAACCAAATCTTTAAAAATAAATAAATACAGTTAAAGAAAGAAAAATACAAATGAGATTCTCCCCAGAGTCACATTTTCCAATCACAAGTCCAGTAAAATACCTTGTTTACTTAAGAAGAAATGTTAAAAGAATAATAGGCAAGTAATAAGTATTTAAACTATATCACATAGTGCTTTGAGTTTAAAAAGTGTGTTTCAGTCCCTTTTCATGTATAATATTGTTGTTGTTATGTGCCGTGGAGTCAATTCTGACTCATAGCGAGCCTGTAACAGGGTTTCCGAGGCTGTAAATCTTTATGGGAGCAGAAAGCCTCATCTTTCTCCTGCAGAACAGCTGGTAGTTTCAAACTGCTGACCTTGCGGTTTACAGCCCAATTCGTAACCACTGCTACCAAAGCTCCTTTTTCATGTATAATAGGAGACAATAATGAAAGAAATGTTAAAGTCACTTAAAAATTATCTAGGACCATTAAGATAGTCAAAGCAGTTTGTTTTTTAAAAAATATTCCATTTTCCACTCTAAAAGTTTGTTAATCCAATCACTTTTGAAAATGTGAAGAAATAGCCGTTCAATCACTGTGGGAGTATAAACGGTTGCAAACTGGACCTGCTTTCAGGAGAGAAACTGAGTAATATCTTGCTGTTGTTGTAAGTGTTACTGAGCCAGTTCTGACCCATAACGACCCTGTGGAGTGGCTGGTGAGCTTGAACCATCAACCTTGCAGTTCAAACTGACCTTGCAGTCCAGCACATTAACCCACAGCACTGCACCAGGACTCCTGAGCAATATCTGATCAGAATTTGAGATAACTGTACCCTAACACATCAATTCCACTGACAAATTTTATGCTCAAAATGTAGACTCAAAAGATGTAAAAGGTTTATGGAAAAGAATGTCACTGCAGCAAAATCTATAACTGATCTTTAAAGTCTATCAATATCAGTGAAATTATGAAATGTCTATAAAGAAATGAGCATGAAAACAAAATACTCAAAATGATCTGGAAACTATTCAAAATTGAACAGAGGGAGGGCCAGAATTGGGGACTGGAGGGGAAGAAGACTTTTTCAGTTAATTTTATGACTTTCCTTATTTATTTTGCCATAGGGGTGAACTATATATATAGAGAGAGAGACAGAGAGAATGTGCTCTGGTAGTGTAGTGGTTACGAATCAGGCTGCGAACCGCAAGGTCAGCAGTTTGAAATTACCAGCAGTTCTGCGGGAGAAAGATGAGACTTTCTGTTCCCGTAAAGATTTACAGCCTTGGAAACCCTATACAGGGTCGCTATGGGTCAGAATCGACTTGATGGCACTCAATAACAACATATATCTATATAAATTAAAGTGGAAACATGGAAACATAAGCACAAATATTTTCAGCTAAAATTAAATTAAGACCACAGAAAATCTTAATGTTTAAATTGAGTATAAAGATAATAATTATTTAAATACTGTAAAATTCAGTTTTCAAATAAGATTTTGACACCTCTTTTTTAAATGAAAGGATCTCTGGTGGTGCAACTGGTTAAATGTTTGGCAGCTTAATGAAAGGTCAGTAGTTCAAATCTACCAGCCACTCTGTGGGAGAAAGGTGTGGCAGTATATTTCTGTAAAGATTTACTACCTTGGAAACACAGCATCACTACAAGTCAGAATCTACTGGATAGCAATGAGCTTCTGTAAATGAATAGTAACATCATTTATACTTACCTCTATGTCGGCCCAAATCTTTTCTTTGCCCCCTTTCCAAATCGTTTCTTTGTGAGGAAAATGAATTTTTATGTTCAATGGCTTTCAGTGCACATTCTCTGGAAATATCTCTTATTTTTTCCCGTTGGTCACTGTGACTTAGCTTAACTATAAAAGAAACCATTTTTACAATAATACAAATCATTTTTCAAATAGCTCAATAAAATTACAAATTGAAGTATATACAATTTTTATATTTTATATACCAAAACCAACACAAAAACAAAAAAGTACAGTGAACATACTTTTATGTTTAAGTAAAAGCTCAATATATGACTAGCTTTAGCTACAGATATTTATTTTCTTTTTAAACTTCATGTATTCTCCTAAGACAGCTCATAATAATAAGAGCTACAGGTAACTGAGTAGCTACTAAATGTCAATCATGAATCTAAGTACATTAAGTCATTTAATCCCCTGATGCCTGTACAATTACTATAACCATTTCAGATGAGGAAACTGAGAAATAAAGAAGTTAAAACTTTCCCAAGTTCACAAAGTTTGTTAGTGTAGAACCAGAATTACAAATCCAAGCCTTCTGTTTCCACTGTATGTTCTTTATATACTACACAGTCTTTGGGTTTTTTTAAAAAACAAAACAATACAGGTATCTTTTGGAAAAATGAAACATGTTCATAGAAGGCTAACTCATTACAGAGAAAAAAAGCTAGTTTTTAAAGACTAAGAGTTTTAATTACAACACCATTATTAAAATAGTTTTCTGTTGATGATTGCTAATTCTGGATCTTACCACCCTTTACTAAGTAGATTATATTTCATCCATTAATTCACATATTTAAGAGTTAATTTTTGTTGTTGTTGCTGTTTTTATGACTAGCCATTCTCCAAACCAAACCAAAACAAACTCACTGCCACTGAGTCAGTTCTAACTCCTAATGACCCTATTAAGTAGGGGTGGGGAATGTCAGGCCCATGGGCCATCTGAGGCCCTCAAAATCATTTGGTCTGGCCCTACCAAAGCAAACACAGTTACAGCCATCACATTGCTTTTGTTGTTAAGTGCCTCTGATTCGGTTCTGACCCACAGCGACCCTGTGTAGAGTTTCATGTTGTTGTTGTTAAGTGCCGTTGAGTCGGTTCTGATCCATAGCAACCCTGTACAGGGGTTTCCAAGGCTGTAAATCTTTATGGGAGCAGAAAGCCTCATTTTTCTCCCGTGGAGCAGCTGGTAGTTTCGAAGTGTTAACCTTGCAGTTCGCAGCCTGATTCATAACCACTACGCTACCAGAGAGGTGAGTTAAATGTTTGATCAAATAAATTGTTGTTAAGTGCCACTGAGTCAGTTCTAACCCATAGTGACCCTATATAGGGTTTCTGAGGAGTGGCTGGTGAGCTTGAACCACTGACCTTGCTGTTCAAACCAACTTTGTAGTCCAGCTCATTAACCCGCAGTACCACACATAGCTGGCTAATTTTTAACTGGATAACTTTGTATGGCCCGCAAATTATGTTATAAATTCTGACAGAAAAAGGTTCCCCACTCCTGTTGTATAAGTTTTCCGAGGCTGACCATCTTTGCAGGAATATAAAGCCTTATCTTTCTCCCATTATTTACTCTAGTAAGAGTACAATAGGATCTCATTGTAGTTCTAATTTGCATCTTTCTGATGGCTAAGACACTAATCATCCTTTCATGTGGATACTTGTATGTCCTCTATGAACTACCAGCTTCAACTCATAGTGAATATGTGCCATGGAATTGGTTCTGACTCATAGCAACCCTGTATAGGGTTTCCAAGGAGCGGCTGGTGGGTTTGAACTGCTGACCTTGTGGTTAACAGTCCAGTGCTTATTCTACAAAGCCACACAAGTATTGCAACTTTTTATTACAGTTAAAAGTCATTTATAGAATCATGCTGAATGTCAGTACAATTTTATGAATTTCTAAACCTTAACTAAACACAGTGCTATAATTTTGAATCCATGTCACAGAACTTGGCTTGTGACAATTAATGTCATGGGAAGATGATAACATGAAAGAGCTAAATAAAAATGAGACATAATAGCTTTGAATTACTATTGTGTTCATAACTGTAAATTTAATACTATCAAACACACGAAAATATTAACTTATTCCTCACATAGATTATTAATTCCTTGAAGGAAATGTCACATTATAGCTTTCTTTGGTAACTATCCAGATTGCTTTGGGTCTACAATAGTTCTTAGTATACAGATAGAGTAAAATATTGGTTGAATCAAAGTGTTCAGCTCAAACTAGAGCTCTGAGAGATACACACAATTCAAAAGACAACATTTTAAGGTTATCTACTTGTTGTTTTCTCTTTACAGCCAAAGAAAGCTAGTTAATGCCCTCCTTTTGTATGGTTCTCACAGGAATCACACATTCATTTAGTGAAGAAAGGGGGAAGCTTAACTGAACAGAAATAATGCAAAAAACGTCAGTTTAAACACAAATACCTGGTCCTCTACCTCCACTTGTTTGAATGTGGCTCCAATTAAATGATGAAATATTATCTGTCAGAAATTTCTGATTTTCTCTCTGCTTTACTTGATCACTAACTCCACTTTCTCTTGAATTATCTGACTTAAAACCTGAGAGTTTTTCACATCCTAAAAAGACAAACAAATATATGTATCATCCAGTCTTCTCCCCACCAAAGGACATGTTTTGAATCATCTTTTCAGATATTTCTAGTACAATAGACAAAATTACTTAAAAATTTATAGACTTGACATCTCAAAGGTTTCTATATGTTTTACAATGTACCACTGTCCTCGCTGCTTTATAATTTCCAGTTTACTTACTCACTTTAAGTATCAACATTTAGTGTTAGATAGAGTTAGCAGCCCAGCCAATGGCTTCTGTATCTGTATGCCCATGATAATGCATGGCTCCTGCAGTGTGTCTGAGATCACTGATGAGGGAAGGTTCTTTTTTAAAAGGTAACTCAATGGACTAGAATTTGCCTGAACTCTATGGAAACTAAATTGTCAAATTATTTTTACATTCTAGTCTCAATATGTTAGCATTGCTACTGTAACTATGTGAAAAATAGGAGCATACTTTAAAAATGACTTAAATGAAGAAAAAGAGATTTACCCATATTTTCTGCAACAGATTTGTAATGTGACCAATGGATGATCTGCCTGAGTGCATCTTCAGTAGACACTGCAGTGCCATCTGGGTTTGCATAAAACAAAAGCAGTGGCTGGAAGTGGCATCGTATGCACTTGGAGACCACATCCTTCCATTTAGTCCCAACCTGAAAGATTGGGAAATCTCAAAACCATACAAATAAAAACAAAATCACATCCTGAATCAATGTGTTACATGAAAAGGTAGAGATTCTAAATAAATTTCTTATTTAAAAATTTTTTTTCTAAAGACATTTTGATCAATGTCTTATATAATTGTATTATACCATTGTATTATATAATTCATTTTATTTTATCAACTAATCTAAATAGGAGTCCTGGTGTGGCGCTATAGGATAAGCACTGGACTATTAACTGAAAGGTTAGTAGTTCAAACCCACCAGTCATGCCTTGGAAATCCTATACCAGGTCACTATGAGTTGGAAATGACTCGGCAGTACTCAATAAGAACAAGGGTAAAACAAATATCTTTTCTGGTGAATTTGAACTAGTTATAGTTAGCAGTCCATTGATTATCCTGTTATACCATTCCAGGATCCCTTTAAAAGAGAAGTATTTAAAAACTGATGGGGACCCCCTCTAAGACTGAAACTCAAAGGGAACACATGAGAAGGCATGAAAGTTGGCTGGTGCCCATGTTGGTCTACTGGTGAGTGGAAGAGGGGGAAAGTCAGCAATGAAGAAATGGGCTGAGTTCAAGTATGTTCCACAGACTTCCACTGACCTAGAGATGAGACAGAAAAGAGGAAGGGCTGGTTGGTCCAAAGTGTGGTGAGACCTGGGGACACCTGAGCCTATGGACAAGGACATAGCCACAGCAGGCTACTGCTGAGAGTGAAGCATCCAGCTGATATGAAGTGAGAGGAGTTACGCAAGTACGTTCAAACTTGGCTTGATAATCAGAACTCGACTAGAAGAAGATTAAAAAACAAACAAATTTTGATAAAGGAAACAAGGGTAAATTGCTACAATTTGATGAAATGACTTATACTCATGGAGGTAGTAACTCTAAATACAAACAGAGAGGGAAGGAGTCTTCACATCAATATGCTATCCCCTTTGTATACAGGGTAGATAGGATGGACAACTTAGACATTGGCTACCTAAAATGGGGAGGCGATAAAGGTATGATGTGACTGGCATAAAAGGTTTCAGGGGGGTGGGGTTAATTTAAGAGTGTGTGGGGGAAGAAAGAGTCCCCACTGAATAGTTTTCATTTTGTCTAGATGAGTCTGGTTAAAAGAGATGGGGATCTTATGATTCAATAGTGAGTAACTGTTATCATGACTAATTACAACTGTCACAATTGTAAAGAAGTTTTGTAACAAAAACCGAGTAGTAGTTAATTCCAGAAACAAAGGACCCCAGGACCATCAAGGGAGGACAGCACAAATGGAATGTGAGATCTTATCCAGAGAAGCAGCCACACCAGAGATGGAGGCAGAGATGGGGACATGAAGAGTGGGAGCAGTTGAGGACTCTAGATTCATGGGAAGAAAGGGACTAAGAGCCGGTGCCCAGGAGGCAGACTTGCCAAATGTGCCCTTTGGTGGTGTAAATTATTATGTATGTCTGACTGGGGTTTTTTTTTTGCTTCTCATTAAAGAGCTAAAGTGAATAGTGAAGAATACAATTAACTGATGGTACATGGAGGGGATTATAAATCATTGTAATGAAACAAGGTGTATGATTTGTTGAGTGTAAAACTGATGATCTGTCCTGTAAACTTTCACTTAATCCACAATAAAAACCTTTTAAAAAAATTGATGGGGAAAAGACTTTCTATGGACATAGACCAAGAGGCAGTTGCTCAACCTGAAAACTGGGACACAGAATGGTTTAAAATCAGAAAAGGTGTGTGCCAGGGTTGTACACTTTCACCATACTTATTCAATCTGTACAATAAACAAATAATCAAAATAACAATAAACAAAAAAGATGGTGAACTACATGAGTAAGAACATGGCATCAGGATTGGAGAAAGACTTATTAACAACCTGCGATATACAGAGAACACAACTTTGCTTGCTGAAAGTGAAGAGGACTTAAAATAATTACTGATGAAGACCAAAGACCATAGCAATCAGCAATAGTTGCATTTCTAGGTAAAGAAAACTGAAATCCTCAACACTGGACCAATAAATAGCATTATGATAAATAAAGAAAACATTGAAATAGAGAAAAACTTCATTTTGCTTGGATCCACTAACAAACCCTCTTGGAAGCAGAAATCAAGAAATCAAATGATATACTGCATTAAGAAAATCTGCTGCACAAATGTTCAAGAGCAAAGATGTCGGTTGAGGACTAAGATACACCTGACTCAAACCATGGTGTATTCAATAGCTTCATAAGCACGTGAAAGTTAAGACAGTGAATAAGAAAGATTACATAAGAATTGATGCATTTGAGTAATGATGTTGGAGAAGAATTTTAAAGTACCATGGACTGCCAAAAGAACAAGCAAATCTGTGTTGGAAGAAGTACATCCAGAATGCTCCTTGGAAGCCAAGATGGCCAAACTTTTCTCTCACATTGCTCTTGTTGTTAGGTGACACTGAGTCAGTGCCGACTCATAGCAACCTTATACACAGCAGAGTGAAACACTGCCCAATCCTGGGCCAACCTCACTTTTGTTGCCATACTTGAGCCCATTGATGATGCCACTTGGCCAATACATCTCGCTGGGGTCTTTCTCATTTTCTCTGATCATCCACCTTATGAAATATGATATCCTACTCCAGCGACTGCTGCCTCCTGACAATATGTCCAAAGTATGAGAGACGAAGTTTGGACATCTTGG